GGCAGGGCACGTCCCAGAGGAAAGGCAGGGCGTATCCCAGAGGAAAGGTAGGGTGTATCCCAGAGGAAAGGCTGCGAAGCCGCATCAACCCGGCAGCACCCTGCAGCCGCGCTCCTGCTGCGCCCCAGCGGCCCAGCCGGGCGCTCACCTTGCACTGCTCGGCTTCTGTCCGCAGCACCTCGGTGGAGGCTGAGCCCTCGCGCAGGAAGAGGCCCAGGGTGTCCTTCTCCAGGCACATGTCCCTGATAGCCCGGGCTGTCTTCCCAGTCTCCTTCCTGGAGTGAACGAACACCAGCACCTGTGAAACAAGCAGATGGTACCGCCGCTGAGAGAGGAATCGCGACGGCTGCAGCTGGTAACGACGCCTGACCCAACCTGCTGCTGGTGTTCAGGGTGGGAAGAGACCTGGAATGAGTCCAGGTGCCCTGTGAGCCACACATGGAGCTCCTGATCTAGCAGGGCAGCACCACAAAACCTCCTTTGCTCTAAAAGAACGGGTCACACGGTGATCAGACAGCTGGCACGGAGAGAAAACCCGTGTTCCTTCCGCTCTTGGCATCGGCTGGCCCAACCAGCAGCGGTTCTGCGGCGACAGCAGCTCCAAAGAGTCTCACCAGCAACAGGCAAGAACCAGGAAGGATAAAAATCAAGTGTCAAACCTGGTTCTTCCCAGCGTGCTCCATAATCTTCTCGTAAACAATCTCGTTCATGATCTGGAAGCGTTTGATTGCTTTCTTCTCCGTAATCCCCACATAGGTCTGCTCCAGGGGCACCGGTCGGAAACTGTAAGGAAAAAAAAAAAATAAATCAAGTTGACAAAAGAGTAGAAGAATGGAGAAACCCTGATACAAAGGTCCTGCCAAAAGGTATCCTGTATTTTGTGCTACCAAGTTCACGACGTTTCCAAGAACCACCACGCAGGAACCCTGGCACACGTTTTGAGGCTGGTTTCACTGCTCTAGTCCTGAACACGCATTTACTGGCGCATCCAAGAGCAAATAAATCCATGCTGGAAGCAGGCTGAAGGCCTGGTGAGACCCTGGCATGGTCTGACAGATAAATACTTGACTCTCCAGAGGCAGCAGGTCTTTCCCAGCTCTCAATAGCTCCCCACCATCTGATCGTAAAGATCTCCCCCAGCTTTCCACGGTACCTGTTATCAAAATAGAAGAGGCCTTTGGCCGGGTCCACTCTCAGGAACGTGGCCACGTCCTCGTAGTTGGGGAGGGTGGCACTCAAGCCAACGAGCCTCACGTCCTCCTGAGTCATCTCGATGTTGCGGATGGCTCTGGCTACCAAAGACTCCAGGACGGGTCCTCGGTCATCATGCAGCAGGTGGATCTCATCCTAAAAAGAGGAAACAGGAACAGTTATCCCCGCTCCAAACCGGCTCTATTTACCCATTTTTTGGTTTAGTTTCTTAGCACGCACCGAGGCACGCTCATCCCACACCCCAAAGCCCAAGTCTCTCCACAGCCAAGCACCAGGGAGGTCTTCAACCTCCAGGAACAACCACACGGCCAAAAGACCCAGCGCCCATCACCGCCTCCCCCTCCTCCGTGCCGAGGCTCTGCCGGCACCGGCGCCGCTCACCAGGATGACCAGCCGCACCAGCTGGGTGTAGGTCCGTTCTCCTCCCTTGCGGGTGATGATGTCCCACTTCTCCGGGGTGCAGACGATGATCTGGGTGGCGCTGATTTCCTCCTTGCACAGCTGGTGATCCCCCGTCAGCTCGGCCACGTTGATGCCGTACGTCGCCAGGCGCTAGGAGGAAGCCCGTGGGCGGTTAAGTTCGGATAAAAGCCCGTTTCCCCGGGGGGCAGAGACAGAGTTTCCTACTTGTCCTGCCACAACGCTGGAAGAAACGTGTGGATTTCACACCCAAAACGTGTAGCGATGGAGCCCAGAGCGCACAGACAGAGGTTGAAGGCACAACCCAAACTCATCGTTGCCCAACGAGCTTCTCCCAGAGCTCACATCCTTCCGTAAGCGCGACAGCAGGAAGCAACCGGAATAAAGCTCATCTCCCCCAACCCACAGCTCAAGCAGGGGCAGGATGGATCCTCTCCTCACCTTCCCGAAGCTGCCCACCATCTCCTGCACCAAGGACCTCATGGGCGCGATGTAGATGATCTTGAAGTCGTCCACGTTGATGGTTCCGTCGATGTTAATGTGTTTCCCTATTTCTCGCAACATGCACATGAGCGCCACGTTGGTCTTCCCGGCGCCCTGCCACGTGAACGGGAGCGCTCCCATCACACCCGTGTCATCTCCAGGGTAAGATGACGGGTCACCTGCCCAAACAGGTCGTCCTTCCCCAGGAGACCCCAATACCGGGATCCTTACCGTGGGAGCGCACAGCAGCAGGTTCTCGTCCGACTCCAG